GAGGCTCAATGAATGGCAGATGCATTTTACCTGAATGCAATTGGGTGCCTCTTGCACAATCCGGGACCACAGAGAGTTGCGCTCACCAATCATATTGGAGGCACCATCTGATCCATAACCAATACAATTGGCCAAATCCAAACCAAGACCAGCAAGGCAATCCTTCAACGCCTCAAATAAACTTTCACCCCTTGTACTTATAACAGGAACAAGGCCGGCAAATGCAGTGCAAATTTCACTTGAAGCATCGTCGAAGTAGCGTAAAAGAATGGCCATATGCTTATTAGCAGCAACGTCGGTTGATTCGTCGACAACTACAGAAAACTTTTTGTTTATTAAGCTTCCTTTCAGTTCTTCCTTAAGTGCAGGAGCAACAACGTTAGTCAATATTTTCGTGCATTTTCTTCGGTGGAGTCTAATGTTTCCAACAATGCTACCTTCTCCATTCCTCTTCATTATCTGTCCTAAATGATCGATAGAGTTGATAGCAGTGTGACAGGATATCCCAACTGACAACTCTATTTCAAACCTTTTTACATCTTCGCTTGGCTCTTTGGTTTTCTTTGGAAGATTTGCAAAAGGCAAAGATTTTGTACAGTTAGCGGCATTTATATTTTTTATATGCTTGTCTGACTTCTCATGATTGGCAAGGTTTGACGCTTTCGGTGTAATGGACTGGTGACATATTTTGCAAAATGCATTTTGTTTTCCATCCATGGATTGCTTCACCCATACGTATTTTTCTTCCCACGACTTTAATACCGCCTTCCACTTTCGTACGAATTTTTCCACTTAGGCATTATTAAGGAGCTGGTTGAACACGTTATTCTGAATATCTGCCGATCGAATCGAATCTCTAATAATGATAACTGTAATTTTAAATTATGTAACTGACACGTGTTTTTTTAGTTAAAACAATGACCACTTGTCTCTATTTCAAAGAGAACACTGCTTCCACAGTATGAACACCAAGAAAATACTCGTGGGAGCAACCGGGTGACAATTTGATTAAGTGGAAAAATCCCAGTTGCTGTATCAAGTGTTGAAAGACTGTAAGTGTCAGGTGCAAAATAATTGCATTAACAGGTTGACTTGTAAGACAATATCGCAATGGGATGTCGGCAAATAGCGAAACAATAAAACTATCGAAACAATAGAAATATCAACATTTTTGAGAAAAAAGCCAAAATTAAGCCAAATAATAGGTCTAAGCCAAAAAAAATTTCGGAAGCCAAACAAGTTGAAAAAAAGCCAAATTTTAAGAATTTGGCTTAAAAAAAGCCAATATACCAACCCTGGTTTGGATTTAGTTTGTTTTGCATCCTGTAACCTTAGTAATTTTATCACCGTTCGCACATTCGATTGTTTATAATTCCTTTTGTTTTCTAATTGCACCTTTAGATTCATTAACTATTTCTTTTGGGATTTTTAGTATCATTATTCAGTTTATGTAATTAATCTTGGGAGTAATATATTTTGTATTCATTATTATTATGTAAATTTACGTAGCTATGTAGCATTACAATAAGTTCTTGTTTAGTTATATTTTGGGCGTGTTTCATATAGAGTTAGTTTTTGAGTTGGAGTGGGAGTTGAAGTTGGAAATGGAATTCGGTTAAGAGCGATAGGGTTAAGTTTTGATATTTTGTATATTTAGGTTCTCGACGCTTTATAAATGTGGCAAGATGCTTGTGAAAGATTTTGTCGACATGAAGTATGGATTTATAGTATACGTATCTGGATTTATGGAACCGCGCGTGATGATTTATTGATTGTGCATTATTATAGTATAGTTTGAACGGACAGTGCTTGTGAAAGACTGTGCCTGTTAGAGAAACATTGTGAAGTTTATAACCTTTCGCGGAAAGATCACATGATCGGAAGATGGACGTTTGTAACATTATTTATTTGTCTCTTTGTCTCAATTCTCATTGAAGGACTAGTTTATATCGACCGTAACGATAGGGTGGATGCATTCGTTTTGACGAAAATAACCCTATTACACAACTATTCGTAGGAATATATTTTAAAAGAATATTAAATTAAAAGTCAGGCCCACAAAATTCCCCAAAAGTATGATTCTTTGTTTAACAAAAGTTGCTCTCAATAATTGCAAATTTTATCTAGCTTTTTATACTTATAATTTCCAACAGGTCTGATTTTCATAAGTAATTGTCCGACTAAATGCGAGTTTTAGGCGACACTTCAAAATTCTGCCAAATGTATCTTTTTTCTAATTCTATGGTGCTCCTCGTCTAAATGCTGTAAATTTTTTTAGAATATCCATCCTCAGAATATTGAATTAGATTATTTATTTCTTCTCAAGCTTGTTGTAAGGATACATAATTTCAGTAAAGCACCACTTGTCTCTTGAAAATGGTCTACATAAGAAATTATAGAAAGCAATAATCATTTTAGAAAAACGGGTGTGACCAGGAATTGGGTGTGGTCTAAAGGGTGTGGTCGACCCTCTATCTCATTTCGGCGGTAGTCTGCTTTTTGGCTGGATCCGCCACTGCACTGGCCTATTATTTTGGTCTCGATTTCATAACGAGCATCAATTGAATAACGACCACGGATCTATAAGATAGATTTAACTATAGTCTTTTGTCTAGATCAATGATAACGACGGAAATTCACTATTACGTTTTTGCACATGGGCATAGATTTTCTAAGGCATAGGTGTGGGAGAACGCTCATGTGCTCAGGAATAACGGAATAACACATTAAATCTAGAATGCTGACTGACCATGCATCCAAAAGCCTATGCTCTGATGGTAAACTCTAGTCTAGCCCGGTAACTTCCACATATACTGCTCCGGGATGCCATTTTCTGGGGTGTCATTTTCAGGTAGAAAATATATTTCGGGGAATATCGTCTGGCAATACCAAACATGATCTGAAATTTTTTTGCCATATTAATCGAGTAGTTTGGAGACACAATGATGTTAATAGCTTATACATGTTGTCGATACATAACTCATAAGTGTGATCAGACAGCCAAATTCAAACAGTGTTTTACTACTTTCTAATTGTGCTTTAAAATTTTATAAGTAGAATTATTTTCATCTCATTTTCATCTTATTAATATTAGCAACTGCTGTAGGTAAAATTGTAGGTATCCTCAAAGGAGACAAATAAACCCTTTACGTTAATACCTATATGATAAATGTTTTGTTAAAACCTGACATGCGATATGATAAATACAGTGTAAGAAGTTGTCGTTTGTCTTTGCTAATTGAATTGTGAATTGCTGACAATTCAACAAGTGAGTTATAATGAAATGTAATTATCATGTTCAAAAAATGAAAGTCAAAAGGGAAGGAATGAATATGCTGAGAATCAATACAAAGACACATGGACATTGCTGTGGGATAAAAAACTTTTCAGAAATGAGTAAAACTCATAAAGCTTTGCGCAGAAGAAGTATCCAAATCAGGTTCCCAATTTTCTTGTGTAGTTATCAGCTTCGAAGAAATTGTCCCCAATTCAGAATAGGGAATGGCAGCATCGACTTTTCATGCAGCTCGAATAGGCCCTATAATAGGGAAATTGCATAAAGACAACAGGCCTGAATTGGCCTTAATCCGCCATAATTGATAGGCTTTAAAATGTTAAATTTTACCTGCTGATAGAGTTTAAATTAAACAATTTTTTCGTGGTACAAAACTTTAAAGTGGCAATGTTTGTTTTTTCAAAGCCATCTTAGAGTTTAATTTATCATTATTGAAAAATAAAACGATGTATTATCACTTAAAACCAATGCTTGTGGACTGTATAGAATTTTGCAGGAGAAAAATGCTTGTAAATATGGGCCACACTTGGAAACAACCAAGTAAAAGCAAAAGAGAGTGGTAGATTTCCTTCGTAGCAGTTGTCACAACGTATTCGTGAACTAAAGTATAATTTTGAATGTTGCCTGTTTAGACCATTCACGTTTTTTGTTTGTCTATAGCCGATACATTACTTAAAAGGACGTTACCAGTCGACATGAAAATTCAAGAAATGGCTTTCGCACTATGTTCGTCTCAATAAAAGCCAATTGACACAATTCTTCAACTGATGAAAGTCTTTTCCTATTTATTATACCCACTCGTTGATCGAATTAGGCCAATCAGAAACGCGAGCACATGATTGTTGTGGTTGCCCAATCAGTACCACTTGCCTATTGAGTCTGTTACAAATGGAGTCCTAAGATTAAAACGAACCCCTTCTGTCTACACAATAGCAATTTTTTTGTTCATCTTCTGATAGATTCCACAACTGCTAAATGGAACGACGATCGGGCTTTATAAAATCCCGAAATATGTAACATTATAGTTTTTTTGCGCACTCTGGGATTTGCAGTAAATGCTGCCTGATAGCAGGATCGCATTTTTTAGTTGCAGTTTTAGATCTGCTACAACTAAAACTACATCTAAATCTACCTCTAAAACAAAAAGTAAAACATGCGATTTTGCTATCGACCAGCATTTCCAGCAATATAATTCTTTGGCTTTGGCAACAAACATTAAAACAGCAACAATGACATTACTCTGGAAGGTGCAAGATCACTTTAAAAGCAATGTTCGTTAACTAAAGTCTCTCTTAATCAACCTTTTCAGCATCGAAAAGATCACCCAATCAAGTCTAGATAATTCTCCAAATTTTTAGATTCCTTTGTCTTATCGAGATCCCCTGCAACAAGAGGACGGAAAATATTCAATCCAGAAATGTAGAGGTATTTTAGAAAAAGGTAACAGGTAAACAAAATAAAAATAGTATGGTTGTTTCTATCATCATGATTAAGGAAAATCCATATTTTCAAATATATTTGACTCGATCAACTACCAGATGATTTATAAACAAAGTTTCATCCTTTAAATTTGTATTTGACAAGATTCATGTCATATAGATTGCCTTCATACAGGCTGTAAGCTCTATCATATACTTCTTTAATTGCTCGTTTATTATCATACGCAGTCTATCCTATGAAACTTCATTTGAGAGGAACAAGAAAATGTATTTTAACGATCTCCTTGCTTTTACCTGTGATATTTGAGCTTCATTTCTGAAAATATTATGTTGCCATGACTTCCATAAATTCCATGCCAACCCATGTATGTTGGACTTGTTGTGCTTGTTGTTGGGAAGAGTCCATTTAAATTTGCCTCATGACATGATTTGTACCACCATGCTCCATTCCAACGGTTGGCACAATTCCCATCACTGTTATCGTTGTCTCGATCATATGTTGTGAATTTCATGCCATCATGAATGGCCATGGAGTCACCGGCATTACCTATAGAAAAATATATCATTGCGATAATTAGGCAGCAAGGGTGAAATTTTTACCCCGAACCGACTCTTGCCTTCTATTTGCTAAATGTTGCCCAATATCTTGGATATGCATTTGCCTTGGGAACCCAATTAGAGAAGTTTCTGCCTCGGAATGAACCGAAATTGAAATGATTAATGAGTATGCATCAACCATTATAAATAATAATCAGTAAGGCAAAGGTAGGGAGATTTCGATTACCTGAGTATCCACGTAAAAGCAGTTTGTAACCAGATGCTTCGTCACCAACTTCAAATGAAGAATACTCTGCATAATACTGAGTTGTTGGACTGTTGCGGTGTTTCATGTCGATCCGTAGAATAGCCCCTCTCCCTGGAGCAGCCAGTCTGTGCAATGTATCAAGTCCAATCCAAAAATTTCTACTCGTATCCCCAAATCCATTTTTGTATGACGCCCAGTTTCGATAAAAGTCGACACTGGCGTCTATTCTTCTTTGAAAGACGATCCAATCTTGACTGCCATATACAAAGTCACAAAAGACGTTGGCTTTCCAATTGTGATCCGGTTTAATTTCGTAGACTCCGCTAACCGTTTCTCCAGACTTTCTCACGTCTCCACAATCTAGCAAGAAAAGATAGATGATAGATGACTAACTTAAAGCCTCTGTTTATGTTGTTTGCTTTAAATATGGACGCATAGATCCTAATGGTGCTCGTTTACCGATAACAAACTTATATAAACATCTAGATCCTGAGGTTGGAAGAATAAGTGCATAAACTTTTCTTCACATTATGATGTTGCCGGGCTTGTCGGTCGAAAAATCTAATATTTTGCACTCTAAAGCCAATTAAATTTTGCAGACTTCTATTACAAACCATTTGTTAATTGGAAAAACTTCCTGTTAAAAATCAATTAAAAAGAAATTTTTAAAGCGTTCTTGCAAACAGCATACTGTCATTTCAATCTCCGATGTCCGATCTAAAACAGAGAAAAACTGAAGCCCTGTTATTCGGAAAAGTGGTGGGAATATGAAAATGCACGGAGAATTTAATCGTAGTACGCAAAGATGGTCAAATCAGCATCACTTCAGCATACAGTATCTTAGTGTGCAACCAGACCCTTCACTAAACAGTGATTTTCATCAGGGGCGTCGCCAAAGGGGGTTGCAGGCGGGTGCGGCTTTAGTCAGTCGGCACATTGAAGATTTTTACCGGGAAAAAGAGGCAACAATTGTAACGTATTAAAATTTCTTTAGTAGTGGAAACTTCAAAGTATGTCATTCAAGATTGAACTTTAAAGCAGAAACGCATAAACGCAGGAAATAAGAGAATTTATCTTTTGACCAAACCCTCAATGAGTGAGACACCTTCTTTTTCTCGGCAAAAACTACTTTTTTACCATTCCAAAATTATTATTTCGCTCCAATCCTCACTATACAAAATAACCTGAACTAGAGCTTCGTCAGAAAGGCTTTATAGGCCATTTGCAAGGATTAACACGTTGACAGACCAAAGAATATCTCGTTTCTGAACATTGTATATGTGATCAATTTGATTACAAAGAAGCATCATGAAACACAGCAACATCTGGAAAGCAAGCGATTCCATCTTTTCAGCTTATTCTGTTGCCATTATAATCGTAATCCTAGCATTTGCAATACAAAGCTGTTGTACTTTGCCCCAAATTTTACTGGAACTTTAAGACAACGATTTATTTAACCAAAAATGAAGGTTTTAAAATTGAAAATCAGAATGGTATGACCAAGATGAATTGTTTTTTCAGAATGATGATGGTTTTTTCTTCATAGAAGTTAAGCCATTTTTATAAAATTAGGAGTTTAGTACATTTTGCAATCGTCGTTAAACGGTGAATTTTAACTAGGTACCTTGTTTCAACTTCTCACAATGTGTTCCGTAATAAAGTGGGGCGCATATGCACTTGTACCCCTTTTCATCACATATATCTTTGCACTTCGCACCATTTTCGCAAGGAGATTTAATCTCACAAACAGGTCCATTCTAGGATAAAAAGGTAGAGAATGAAATTATGTAGCTTATTAATGAAATTATTGAAGAAACACGATAAGGAATTTATAGAAATCTTAAAAATTTGAGGACATAAACTTTGCTATGCCATGCATCTTTATTCGCCATGTTTCCGTTGAAAATATTTATAATATAGCATAGCTATTAGACCATTTTGAATTTTGAATTTATTTAAAAGAAAACTTTTAAATGTCTGTACTACGACTGCACTCACATTTATTTTCCCATCGTCTGTTGTCATGTACACCTGGCCCTCCCTTTCCGTCAACAGCGCAACGCTCTCGTTGAACCTTCTTTCCAGTAGCTCACAAGTCATCGTCCCACGATTGTAATTCAAAGAGAGACACTTAGGCCAAGAAAGACATTCGAGGGTGCACTGTCGCACTGTCCTTGAAGAAATTGTTTTCATGACTGTCCCTGTGTCAGCAGTATTGTTCAGGATAATGCTGAAGTCAGCGTAGAATTTGCACGGAAGTCTTAATAAGCAAAGACATCTGCTGGTCATCAGTAAGACAAATAGAGTTTGGCATGGTGTAAAGGCCTCTTTCATTTTGAATTTCTGAATTTGAAGTTCACTACTTGATTCAGAATTAATTTGAAACTCTTCTTTAGTATGTAGCAGAAAATTACCAAATGTCTTGTTTGCTTTTCTAATATCAATTAAATATTAAATAATTGATGAGGCATTGATATGATAATCTAACCACCAATTGGTGCTCTCTCTATTTTCACAATGGCCCACAGGATATTAACAATTTTAACCAATTTTGTTTACATTTTTAAAAAGCAAGCCTAGCAACTCTATTGTTCTTTTGACAACAATGACAAAGATGCATTATGTCGAATAATGCTATGCGGTTTAAGGTCTTATTGCTAACGACCAATGCATGAATTTCAAAAAGTTCCTCCAAACTGTAAGATGTGTTCAATATTACTTTTGCAAGTATATATTCAATCAGAAAGCCTTAGATTATGATCTTTCAAAACTAACTAACTAATTGTGGGGAAAACTAAAACCATAGATCGTGAGTGATAACGGTAAAATACAAGATTGATGTGGAGGATGCTCGAAGGGCTGATGAAAAGTTGCAAATTTACGTGTGTTAAGTGATTAAGAAGTAAGAGAGTGTCTAATGAGAAAGCTAATGTTAGGTTAGGTTAGTTCAAATATGTCAAGGAAAAAAAACGAGCAAAGTGTTGCTTAGTAATTTTTTATATATGACTTTGTTGGTAGCAACTACGAAAAGCTTGAGCAACACTAGTAGAGGCGAGACGATGAGGTCGCTACGAAGCACAAGATGTGTTGCTTAGGAGAAGATGTTCTTCTTTTTTTATATTCTTGTTGCCAGAGCCTCAGTAAAAGAGTGGGTCAATGAATGTGTGGATATTTTGACTACCACTGCTCGACCATCCCTTTCACTGAGGCTCTTGTAGTCGGGGTACAATTTTTCGCAATATAGCTTATCCTCCTTTTAGCTTAATTTTTGTTTGCTTATAGGCCGCGGTCACACTGTACTTTTCCAAGCATCCTTTTTGCTAATCCGTATTTGTTCTTACATCATGCGACCGGTCACACATGATTTTTTATAAGGATGCTTTAGTACCCTCAAGGAATTAATAGGTCAAGAAAATAACATGCACATTTATAACACGCAGAGTATATTTCCCGCCAAAATTTCACTATTTTTGCTTCTTGGTTCGCGCCAATTTAAAATTTCTTTATTCGTTATCATGATGGAGCTACAATCGTCTATCTTGTTTCTTGTAAATTCGAAAGTTTTTTCTTGGCCTGGTTGACAGTTTTTTTAGGTCCATTTTTATTAACATTATTTATAATTTTTGTCCATGCCTGCCGATTGCGACTGCTTTCCAGCTCCGGGACATTTTCTTTCCACTTTTTAATCAGGCTTCTTGCTTGAATCTCGGACCAGCGACAATTGTTTTCCCCTTTTTTCTTTTCATCTTCGTTTGCAACTTCATTCCCTGGATTCAAGTTCATACGCGCATTCTGGTAGCGTTCAAATTCAATTTGCTGCAAATATATTTGGTACTGAAACGGATTTTGCTGAGAATTGCCTCCAGATCCGGAAGGGTACGACATGATTGTTTTGTAAATTTTGCTTGTTGAATTTTCAGTGAAAAATTTATAAATGAAAAGAATTGTACGCGTGCGCTTTATTTTATTGCAACCGCCATAGGACACACATGTCAAGGACACGCACATCAGTAATCCTTTATGGAAACAGAACATCATGATTTTGTTCATTTAGAACGCATAACAAGTATTTAGCATGGTTTTGGGAAGGTACAGAGCATCCTAAAGAATTAAGGGGATTTCCTTTGAAAATGCAAAATTCCGACCGAATTCCAGAAATGTTTAGCAAGGCCATTAGTACAACACCTTTTAAGAAAGCATGCTTAAAAGCATAGTGTGACCGCGGCCATACAGCTCCTCCAGTCAAGATTCTCGCTAGTTTTGATTCCAAGATATCTTATTTCCTCGATTTAGACCCGTGTTATTTTCTCATTGTTAAAATGAAGTTCCAGCATGTTGCTATTTATTTTGTACAGCTTTCATCGATGACCGATAATTATGTGTTTGCTTATAGATGTTGCTAACTTGCATCCAATTTTAAATGTCTTCAAGCACATTACTGAGACCTGAAGCCTTCAAGCACATTACTGAGACCTGAAGCCTTCAAGCACATTACTGAGACCTGAAGCCTTCAAGCACATTACTGAGACCTGAAGCCTTCAAGCACATTACTGAGACCTGAAGCCTTCAAGCACATAACTGAGTATGACGATAATGCTGGTTTTTGGAAGCTGACAAAATTTTGCATAAAGCTGTCGTTTCCAAACCTGCATGATTTTCATTATTGTTAAGCCACGCACGCACTAGCGATTCATTGTCACCATTGACGATTTTAGTCGCTGGCGACTAAATGATTTTATCCGCACGCTATTAATTTTACTGGCACTGCAGTGGTGGATCCAGACTATCGCCATTACCGCTCGAGCGGTAGTCAGATTATTCAAAAATTATAGAAACAAGGATCATTTTCATGTTTATTATACTTCTTTAACTAAACCATATTCAATTATTGAAAATATTCGATCGCGCTGCAAACCAAGCCTTTCTTTCTAGGAACATGCCTGAAATTTCCACAGAGACAGAAATATTTTTTAATCCTTATCGCTATGGAAACACATGTTTGCAAATAGAAGGCTAGCATGGGGGGATGATGAAATCATGGCTTGCTAGCTAGGGGGGTTGAGTCGGTGTAGAGCGGATTCGAGCTGCACTGAGCGGTAGTCAGCCTGCCTAAACCAATCAAATCGTCAGAAATCACTGCCAACCTGGGGGGATGCATACAAATTTTGTTGACAACCAATGAACAACCGAGTTGACTACCGCTCAGATGGGGAGTTGAGTAGTACTGCCGCTCAACACGGCTCAAACGATACAGAAAGATGGGGGGATGCCTACATATTCTGCAAGTGAGCAAACTGTAACTTCAAAGCCGATGTGACCCATTATTCTGTACAATACACAACTATTCGTAGGAATATATTTTAAAAGAATATTAAATTAAAAGTCAGGCCCACAAAATTCCCCAAAAGTATGATTCTTTGTTTAACAAAAGTTGCTCTCAATAATTGCAAATTTTATCTAGCTTTTTATACTTATAATTTCCAACAGGTCTGATTTTCATAAGTAATTGTCCGACTAAATGCGAGTTTTAGGCGACACTTCAAAATTCTGCCAAATGTATCTTTTTTCTAATTCTATGGTGCTCCTCGTCTAAATGCTGTAAATTTTTTTAGAATATCCATCCTCAGAATATTGAATTAGATTATTTATTTCTTCTCAAGCTTGTTGTAAGGATACATAATTTCAGTAAAGCACCACTTGTCTCTTGAAAATGGTCTACATAAGAAATTATAGAAAGCAATAATCATTTTAGAAAAACGGGTGTGACCAGGAATTGGGTGTGGTCTAAAGGGTGTGGTCGACCCTCTATCTCATTTCGGCGGTAGTCAGCTTTTTGGCTGGATCCGCCACTGCACTGGCCTATTATTTTGGTCTCGATTTCATAACGAGCATCAATTGAATAACGACCACGGATCTATAAGATAGATTTAACTCTTTAGTCTTTTGTCCTAGCATCAATGAAAACGACGGAAATTCACTATTACGTTTTTGCACATGGGCATAGATTGTCTAAGGCATAGGTGTGGGAGATACGCTCATGTGCTCAGAATAAGGAATAAACATTAAATCATCAAAATGCTGAACTGCCATGCATCCAAAAGCCTATGCTCTGATGTGAAACTCTAGTCTAGCCCGGTAACTCCACATAATACTGCTGCCCGCGAAATGCCATTTGTTCTGGGGTTCCATTTCAGTAGAATAAAATATATTTCGGCGAATATCGCTGGCTAATACAAACATGATCTGCTTAATTTTTTGCCAATATTGAATCGAGTATTTGGAGATCACACATGATGCTAATAGTCTTATACTGTGTCGATAATAACTCATAAGTGTATCCAGACAAGCCAAATTCAAACCAGTGTTTACTACTTTCTATTGTGCTTTAAAATTTATAAGTAAATTTTTCATTCTCATTTTCGATCTTGTTAAATATTAGCAACTTGCTTGAGGGTAAAATGGAGG